AAAGAAAATAATTTTATTATTTCTAAAAATTGTTAACTGCGACGTAATCAAAATAGAACCCAAAGTAAACATGCTGTTTATAATTTTAAATTTAAAAATCCAAGCATTTCTTTTAAATTTCTAAGAGCAGATATGAATTTCTAATGACAATAACAACGTCAGCACTCACGAGGAGGAGGAGGGGTGGCTGCAGGACGCCGGCTCCTCACGCCTGCAGGGCAGCCTGAATCCCCAGGCCGTGTGGACGCCGGCCCCTAGGACGGCCGCTTGCAGCGGGTGTGTGGCTGTTCACACTCGCTGGTCCTCAGTGAGCCACGCGCCGTCCCCCTGGGCCTGCCCCAACTCCAAGCTTCCTCCAGCCCCATTTGCAGGACCCCCCACCGGCAGACCTGTGTCCCTAGGAAACCTGAAGACCTGGGGCAATTTCTCTACAGTACAATCCTTTCTGATAAACCTATGATTTTTATTAAGGGAGCTTTGGGAGAATTTTCCAAAGGACCTAACTTGTCTCCTGCTTTATGCGAAATGTGTATGTGTGTTGTTTTGTTTTTAAAAGTCGTTGATGCTTCCTGATAGGCTGTTATATATTTTAGTCACAAACACTTGTGTGGCCCTTAGAAAGGCCCATAGGAGGGGGAAGATGGTGTTGAGGGCCTCTTAGGATCTTTTCAGGGTGTTTAGAAATTCCTTGGAGGTGCTTTGCCCTGCTGACCCCAGCTGTCCGAGCGCTTCCAGAAGGGGCCGAGTCAGAACAGAAAGTCAGGGGCAACGCTGAGCAAGACGTGCTCAGGGCCTCGAGGACAGGAAGGCGGCTGATAAAAGCCTAGAGCCACTGACTGGATGAGTGGGTGACAGCAGGAGGTCAGGCCACTGGCTGGACATGCAGGTGACAGGAGTAGGTAAGGCTGCTGACTGGACAGAGGGGTGACAGAAGGGGCTGGGGTTAATGAAAGAACCTCATGATTGTGCTCACCACATCTGCCCGTGTTCTGGGCATTCCAGTGGAAATGTCTGGAAGAAGGCTGGCACACGGAAAGCATTCCTCAGAGAGGCCAGGGCTCCACCCAGCAAGCATNAGGCCCAGGTGGTCACTCAGCTCAAGAGGCAGCGGCAGGTTAACAGGGGAGAAGAGACCGGCCCAGAGCCCTGCATGGCCAGGGCCGGAGGACACAGGATGTCTGGGGAGGGCCGCTAGGAGAGGAACCAGCAACAGCGGTTTGTGGGGCTGCGGGGTGGTCCTGGGGCCCCAGGGAGGAGTCTCACTGGAAGGTTCTGGTGGAGAAACCAGCAGGGAGACCTGGAGACCACAGTGGCCAATTCATAGAGGTGGCCAAGGAAGGAAGGGGACCTGAGTGTGACTGAGAGAAGACGGCAGGCTTTTGGGTGTTCTACTCTTTCTAAAACCTGGAAGAGGAAACCTCAGGTTTTTGAAGACGGGGGTGAGGGAACCTGGGGGACCCCGAAGGCAGTGCCTCTCAGACATCTGGAGGAGGACCCGTTTTATTTCTGGTTTTATTCCGATCTGTCCTTCTTTAAAATCTATGACACCACGCGTCACTGGGAAAGCCACGGCACATTGGAGCACATGCTCGGTGTCGGTTCTGTGCTATCTCAAGCCACACCAGTGGACACCAGCTGAGAGCTGCTGCCCTACAGCAGGGGGTGGACAGCTTCGCGGCCATGGCCCCACCCCAGGTGACAGGAAGAGGAGGCGGGAGAAGGCCAAGAAGTGCTGGTGAAGGCCAGGTCTGGGTTTGCACTAACATGTTGCATTTGGGTCAGAAGCCGGTTGTTGTGGAGACGTTCTTTGGATACGATGAAGAAGCTTCCCTGGAATCCGACGGTTCCTCCATCTCTTATCAAACAGACAGGACCGACCAGACCCCGTGCACCCCAGACGATGACTTGGAAGAGGTAACTTTCTTCCTGCAGCAGTTCCTGGACTTGTGGGGAAGGGGCTGACGGCTCGTCACAGGCCAGCCCTTGGGGACACGGTGGGGCTGGGGAGGCAGGAAGGGGTGGAGGTCCTGCTCCCTCGGTGGCCCTCACCTGCTCTACGTCCCTAAC